TGTGTCGACAAACTACTTAGAAATTCAATCTTGAATTTTATTACAGCTTGATGTTCACTGGATACCCTAAAGCTCTGTACTTTTAGAACCAATTAACTGCAATTTTAACAAGAGCGACCTGTAACAAAATTGAAAAATTATTTCTTTCGAATTGTTGAATGATGCTTTTCCGCGACAGTTTCAAAGCGAATTGATTTGACGTGCTTTGGCATATGGGTATGTATTGATTTGAAAATATTGAAATGTTATGTCAGTGAAAAACTCCAGATCATGCCTTAGCAATTTTTTAATGTGAAATTAAATGCCAGAATTGTTTCTTCTTCCTACATTTTTTTTGTAATTTTATTCAAATTTTCTTAAAATGATAAAGTTTGATTGCTTGAATCACGTGTAGTCGAAATGACATGATATAGTCTGATTGAGTTTTTTATGGAACTTTTTGAAACAAAAAAGTATAAACATTTTAATTCGAATAAAAGCGACAAAAAGTAAAATTGAAATCTGCGCTGTATGTTTATCTCATGCGCAAGTGTATTGGAAAAATATTGCAGACATTGTGTCTTCTAAAAATCTAAAATCTGGGGAAATAACTCTTGAGCCTATGGACACGATTATAAAGCACATTGAAATTTTTGTTTTTTTTTTCTCTACGACATGCTTAAATGATAAACAACAAAAGCAAAAGCTGTGAAATCTGAATTATATTTTTGCATAACAAACAACTCTACCATATAGACTACTACATTTTGAAATGAACCTTCATCCTCAGATCCTCTTAAAACTTTCATAAAAACTTATTTTTTTTTTGGGAAATAATAAAAGAAAATACTCTAAATTGCCATAAATTTGTAATTTGTTGGTATTATGAAATATTGGTGGGCGCGAGAATGCTTATCTGTGGTATTTGAATTGTTTTTCTTTGATATTTAAAGTGTGGTCAGTTAAGTATTATTTAAATTCTACATTCAAATTAAAAAGTATATTTTTTTTATATGCAATTTAATTTATTATTCATATCTATTATGAAAATATTATTATCATTTGATTTATTTATGTAAATATGTTTTACAACAGAGAACAAAATATACACACACATATTTTGCTTTTTTTCAGGGGTAAACTGTATTCGTTATGTAATCCCTAAGGGAGGTTAATCAAATGTTTACTTAAACTACTACAAGGTAAGAAATTCATTAAAGCTAAACATTTTGGTTTTGTTTATTTTTTGGAAATTAAAGAAATTTAAAGTTGGTTGCGGTAAAAAATTGATAATTAATGGACTTGCTAATAATTCCCCAGCTATCGATTTGGGTTAGATGTGAGACTAAAATATTGAATGGTTTAATACAGAATTTAATATAAAATGTAATCTAATTTCATTTCCACATCTTTTCGTGAAATATTGACATGCCTAGGAATTTTTACATAGAGAATTTTAAGGTATGTGTAAAGGATACATGTTGTATGTAACGAATTACACAGATTACACAATGAAACAATTTTTCGGATGACTTTTACTATTTTTGAATCAAACAATTTTTATTATGTTATTTGCCCTGCATTTATCAAATTTTAAACAGCTGACTGAGATTGAAGTGTTTAAAGATATCTTCCCGTTTTCATTCGGTTATCGAACATCAAGCCCATTAATTATCAAAATTTAATCGCATTTCGATTTTGTTAATTTATTATTTTTTTTGTCAAATTTAGCAAAATTATTATACGGCATATAATTATAAATAATTGTTTGGGGTTTTGCCTGTTTGGGACGAAGATCATTGGATGATTTTATAAATAATTTTTGTTTATTGGTTTCTTGATACGTTATGGCAAGTGTGGTGGTTGGTTCTATTGATTCGCAGTACAGTTCGCTTTTATAGTTTGGACTTGTGGACAAGGATTTTTGTTAAGAGTTTTTTTTTTATTGTTTATTTGGTATTGGTTAGCATTGAATAGCATTTAAAAGTCTAACCTATAAAACAACAACAATAATGATAATATAATAATAGATAGATTCCATTAAAAATTGAAGAGAATATAATTGAAGGAAGTGGAGTATAGAGGAAAAGTACAGGAGATAGATTGATTGGTTATCTTTACGTTTATAAGATCTTCAAAATATTGCTACAGGTTAAGTTACTATTGTTTATCTCTAGCTATGCAGTGATGATTGCATTAATGTATTTTGGAAGTGTGGGTGGGTTTGTGGGTTGTGGGTAGTGCCTATATAACCAACCAGAAATCAAACGCATTGTAACATTGTGACTGGTACTTACAAACAACTATTATTGATTACAAAAAAAGAAATGAATCGAATGTTAATCAAACAATGCTTGTGAGAGAATGGCATGGTGTCCATTTAAATTGTGAAATCATCTATGATATGGATGGATGTTTGTTTGGAATATGCAAAAACCGTCCAACAACTATAAGCTCCAAAGTTACAAACAAATATAAATATTGCATTCTCTTAACTAATGTTTAACGTCCTTGTATATTTTATAAATAATAGATAAATGATTATTTGATATTAATATTATTTTTCACATGATTGCTTCTCATTTTTAGTTTTGTTTCTGCTATTATTATTATCTGTATTATAAATAAAACTAAACTGCAATGTTATAGAAAATATTATTTTTTTATACAATTCTAATAATTTGTTATTTAATTTTTTTTTCATTATTTATCTTTCAATTTTATTTTAAGTTTAACGGCAGTTTCTTTTATCAATGGTAGTTTTCTGCTGAAAGATTTCATGAATGGCTATAAAAATGTTAGCTAAAAATAAAGACTTCCCTCAGAAAATAAAACATTTGAAAAATAATATTTCTGAAAAAAAAAACAATTCAATTTCAAATCAATCAACACAGTAGAACAATTTGATTTGAATATTAAAAAAATGAATTAAAAAAATATTAAGGATTTTTTAAATACACCGATTAATTAGTTCATGTGTACTTTTCAAATTTTTATTGTTTTGAAAACAATATTTTTCATGATTTTTCCCGAATTTGTCCAATTATTATTGTTGTTATCGTACAAAGAGTTGCCCTGACAAATCATAAAAAGACGATAAATGAAAATTTTGCCATCTTTTGTTTATTTCAATTATATTAAGTGGACAATTATAACAAATATTTCCAAAATCACCCTGAACACCTGAAAATCGATTGAAATGGATTTTGTTTTGCACTTCGATGGAGGCATCGGAACTTATTTTGGATAATCACCTGGATACGTATAACATGTGGTACAAAGTCACATTATGCATCACTAGCTATCCACTCTCTGGAGTACTGGGATAATATTTGTCGAAGGCAGACAATGACTAATCTACAAATTCTCAGGCAATAGCCCTAAACTTGAATCTTATTCAAGCTGGATCTGATTGATGTACCGAAGCTGTATCGAAGTTATTGCGGTTTCGACCTGAACGTTCTAAAATAATATATATTGATAGCTGCCCCTAACATGTGGACTCATAATTTTGATAAATAAAATACATACAAGAATAATGGTATTCTGAGTTCCTAAACGTATTTAATGTTCAAGGACAAAACTTTTCGTAAATAAATTGTTATTACGTTTTGTCAAGATTTAATTGTCAGGTACTTTATTTATAAGCTATATACTGGAAAGATGCTGACCGTCATTTATTTACCAAAAAATTTAAATTGTGTAATAGTTTTCCTTTTTCCAAACATTTATTTGAAGAACTATTTTATGTCCTTCTTTATAAGGGGCAGATTGATCTATTATGGAATATATTATAAAAAAATTAAACAATGTTGCACTCGAAAAGTGTTAAAACTTCTCGTCATTTCAACAGAGGACAATATATTTTGATGTGAATTCAAAAGTCAAAACTACATTAACCATATCATCAATTAATATTTTGTTTAATTTTATTATTATTTTAATTAAATTTCGAATTAAAAGAATCCAATTATATTTTATTAATACTTTTTTTATTAGTCTTGTTTTTTTTAATTCTACTTTTTATAAATTTTCACATTTTTTTTTTCATTTGTCCTACTGTGTTGACAGTCGGTTTTTACAATAATATTATTCGTTTTACTTCATTATTTCTTGCAATTTGCCTTTTTTATAAAAAAAATAATAAAATAAACTTATAATTAAAAACATAGAAAACAGAAAATACAATATTTATATAATGCGAATAATAATCGTAATAGTAATAATGTACAAAATAACTAAATTCTATAAAAGAAGAAGAAAACTAGACATACATTATGAGGTTGTTGGTTTTTGTGTTTTCTAAAGAGCATTAACAAAATGAAGGCAAACAAATAATGCTTATGTTCATATGTGTGTAAATAAGTATGTATGTATGTATGTATATGTGTAACTTAAATGAAAAGGGCGGCAATATTGGGCAATAATTAAATACAAAACTAAAATTACATTCTTGGAGGGAGAAGAGAGTATTGTGATTATTTCATTTTTCAAAATTAACTCAAAATACTAAAAGACTTAGAAACCAAACGTCTAATGTGTCAGACAATAAGGCTCGAATTTGTTTGTGATAGTTTTTGTTTTTTTTTCTTTTTTGGTTTTCTTATTAAATTTCAAACAAAAAATTCAATGAGTTAATTTGTTTTAATCAAACATCTATGTTATATATTATTAACTACAAATTTCTTATAGATTTTTTTGTTTAAAGTTACAGTTTTTATTTTTTGTTTTAGATTTGATTTTTGAAAACTTTAATGCGTGTTTTAAGGCTAAAGTGGCTTAATGTTTTGTTTCTTTCTTTCAAATTCAAAAACGAAATGCATAATTTATAAATGACAATGGATACGAGTGTTTGTGTGTGTGTGTGTGTTTAATGACATTTCATGTGTTGACGCTTTTTTTCAAATGGTCGTTTTGTTTTCTATTTAGAAAATGGAATTATTATTTTTTGTTTTTAATTTTTTTGTTTCATTTTTTTAACTTTATACACAATTGGTTCGTTATTTTTATGTGTGTGTGTTGTTTAATGGATTTTTATGATTTAAATATTTATATTTTAGGAGTTTGTTGTTATTGTTTTTAGAAAGACATTTGTTTTTTTTTTTTTTTTGGTTTAGAAAAGAATTTTTGCTATTGCTATAATGAAGAGATTTGCAAACAATATGCAGAAGTTAGTCTTTATCTGATAACTACCTCCGCTCGCGACGACATCCTTCTCCTCCAACATGGGATAGTCGATCACGTGGATAATGCCATTGATGCACTCCACATCGGGGCGATAGACATTGATTTTTTTGTGATTCCAAATGATGACATAGCCTAGAAGAAGAGAAATAATGCGATTTAAATAAATTTAGATATTGTGGTGATTAAAAGTGAATAAAATATGTGGAATACATATGACATGCAAATGATGAAGTATATGTTAGTTTATATATTTATGATAAATAAATTGTTTGTGAATACGTTTCAATATCAATATTATGTCCCTCCCAGGCATGCAGTTTCTTTGATAGATTTTTTGAGTTCTCACAGATTTTTAAACAGGTCTTATAATTTAATGATTGTAACCTATGTGTAATATATGCACCTATATGTATATGTATGACCGCATATTTTTACTGTGTTTGTTCTTTCTTAGTTATTGATTCGATAGTTCGAGGAGAGGCCGAAAATAGGATAATATGACCATACCATAATATTCCTGTTGTGCGGACTATACCAAAGAGTACCTCTCGATTTAATTTATTCGTCATATTCAATTATTATTCAATCTGAAAAATCTTGACAAAGTCCAGATTGAACTACTCAGAAATGCCGTTAACATTACTAAAGTTGTAGTCTCCTTTATATTTGATAACCTTTTTTTCAGGTTTTGGTATTCTGCTATGCAATATTTTGACCCTCAATTGACATATCGCCCTCATAATTAACCAAATGTTAATCATAAACTAAATGAACATAATTGTGAAAATCCGTGATTGATTTATTTGTATTCACATTTGAAGATGAATACAAAATATAATTCGTTTGCATTGTATGAAATATTTTCCTTTATATGTATGCGTAAATAATGGATAGATGAAATGTTTTTTTATGTTGAAGCTTTATAAATGTTGCAGGTTATGAGTCCATGATATTTTTTGCTTTGTATTTGTTTTTTTTTTTATCATAAACTCACCGTTCCATTCATGAGAAGCAAACTCATCATGAAGATCTTGGAGTTTGTAAAAAATAATTCAAATAAAATAATTAAAGAATGTTAGTAAAATTATTATAATATTTCATCACATTTCACACCAACGTACAAAAACATACTCCCTTTATTACAAACCCATTTACATTAAATCTAATAATAACAAATATGGAAATACTTACGTCCAGCCTCTTCTTCAACACGAATTTTAAGTGAATCTCTAAATGTGGGCAAGCGAATTGAGTCATTTTGTTTTGACATGGCAACCAAATCTTTCATTGTATACACCTGATCGGCAATGACCAAATGACGTTCCAAAACAGCACGTGACTAGAAGAGAAAAAAACGTTTCAGAACAATCCATGGGTATCTTTCTTTCACACGCATCAAAATTCTGCTGCCAAACTTACGTGATAGGCAAAATCTCTCATGAACAATTTCTTGTGCACCGAAGGATGGTCCAATTCAATTTTCTGCCAGCCCTTGTCGCGTGGCACGAAGTAAGTAAAGTGCCTATTTGTGTTGTTCAACTGCTCGTTGAAGGAGGAGAATTGACCCATTTTGTAGGTGTCGCTGTAAAATAAAAGAAAAAAAACAGTTGACATTGGCCCTCGTACGGGTGAAAGCAATTGCGTGTCTCATCCAATTACCTTAACATGGGGTCACTTTCCATTTTGCCCAACACGGTTGTGGAGGGGATACCCAAAACTTTGTCAATGATGTGAACGAAACCATTGGTGTTGGCAACATCGGCTTGAACAATTGTGGCATTAACGCCACCACCTTCCACAGTGATGACTTCATCTTCACCCTCGCCATTAATGTTGAAGTAGAGGAAAGTGTGGTTGCTAAGTGTGGGCACCTGGGCAATCTGTCCATAACAAAACAAACACACAAAAAAGGAATGTTATATAAAAATGTGGATTTGTGTCTTCCTCCTGATTAACTCACCATATTTTGATTCTTTTCTTTGATGTTTTCAATATTCAAAGGATCCCGAATGATGTGCATATTCAAAATTTCACGCATTCTTTCTGTGTTGCTGTGGGACAAAAACATTTAAATACAAATTGATTAGAAAATTATTTTAGTATTTCAATAGCTAATAATAATAGTGAATTTATAATTGGAGCAAACCAAAAAACCAAAAAGAAAGCAAAACAAATAATAATCACCAGTCGCTGACATACTTTCTAATATGTTCAATGGCAGGATTTTCCCAAGCCTCATTGCTTGGTGCCAGAATTGTGACCTTGCTGTAGTTTTTAATGTCATTCAGAACATAGCCACCATTGGCCATGATTGTATCGAAGAATGCCTTCAAAGCTCCATGTTCCTGTTGAAATAGAATCGGAAATAGAAATTCGTTTAATTGTGTCTCCAAAAAATAAATCGTTAACGTGTTTTTGTGGTGTTTCATTCAAGCAGTTTACATTCAAATTATGATGATGATAATAAAATAGAATACAAATGATTTCAATTGTGGTAAAATATTAATACAACAGTAGGTGACTTTCTTTAGTTTTTAGTCATCTTATTATTTCAATTTAATTATTCAACAAATTAAAAATACTAAAAGACTTAGGAACCAAACGTCTAATATGTCAGACAATAAGGCTTGTTTGTAAGAGTTTTAGTTTTTTGTAATGCTTGTTTTAATGCTAAAGTGGATTAATTTTTTTCTTTCTTTCTAATTCACGCTAACATTGACAGATGAGTCTGGCGCACATTAGATGTATAGTGGAATAAATTGGCATTTAGTGATGTCCGTATTTCTGTTTAAGTTATTCGCTTAATGGATTTTCAGCGAACACCAACACTACACTAACTTTTCCATATTTGATAACAAAGCCGAATTCTCTAACCGACGTGACGGGTATTTTTAGGCAAGTGGGGATATCAAAGACTTCAAAACTAATCCATAGACCGAAAGGTCGGCTGTATTTTAAATGAAAGCTAAATCGATTGTCATCTAATAACCTCCAAACCCATTTTTTGTCTATAAAATAAGCATGATGTTCCATATACAGACTAAATCGTCTATCGTTTATATTCTGAAATTCTTGTGCCCTTAAATTTATAACGGCTATAGATTATAGCGATCAAAAATTTAACTGATTTTTTGTACTAGTATTTATATTTCACCACAATATAAGACTTTTTTACACGCAATGCTTTTTTTAAACCAGTTACAAAGTTTATAGCAGTTGAAATATCTTTATTTACAACAATTAAAGTCCCCATCAAATAATTATTTGATATATTTCATTTCGAATTTCAAACATTGTAATTGGTTTCAATGATTGTTTTCGCACAGATTCTCAATGAAAATGTTCAAAGAAAATAATAAATAGCAACTTAAAATTACCCAAAGTTATACATACATATTATGTATATGTTAGGTGTGTGTGTATGTGGATGTGTAGATGTATAGTATAGGTGGGTGTTGGGTATGCTTTTGAATGGATTTGGGAATTTATAAATATACTTGTTAGGGATAACACAATTCCTACTGCGACAGCTTTAGCTGAGGTTACACAATGTGGCTTGACAAGTAAAATGTTCAGCAAAGTTCAAATAAATGATAGAAACAACAAAAACAAAACACTCAAAAATAAGAATATATCAGTGAAAACATACATATATTTGCAAATAACACAAAAATTAATAAAAAAAAAAATCGATCAACAAAAAAAAAAAGTGAAAAAGACGTTTTTGTTTTGGAAAATTAGAATCATGAATTTGGAAGAGAGTTTTAGAATTGGTGTGTCTTTTGTTGCCAATTTTTAATTTTGTAATGATTTTGAGTTTTACAAGTGACGATGATCAAAAATGCTCTCTGTGTGTTGTTGGTTGATTGGTTGGTTGGTAACGTGAAAAACAAGCTGGCTTTTTTGCATATAAATACATATTTGGTTTTGATTGCAGCCTCCTATGAAGGCTTGGGATTTATTTTAGGGTAACAGTTTATACTTACAATCTACCGTTATCGTTTTATGATGCATATGAGGATAGTCGGAGTGTGTCATGGCAAACATAGACGAAGACAGAGGAGGTTGCATGACATTGTGTTCATCACATCGCACCATTTTGGCATTCATTCATTCATGGATTACCATTTTCGAATTTTTCAGTTCGGTTTTTTAGGTTTAATGTTGTGGGTGTTCGTTTAGTCGTTTTGTTGATTGGTTGGTTGAATGAATGGTTGAATATTGTTTTGAAGTTCGTGCATAAGGAAATTTACGCAAATTGGAATTATGATTTTGCCATTAATGTCGTAGTTTTGTTTGTTGTCGTTTTGTTTTTTTATTTGTAATTTTGCCATAACAAAAATAATCGATTATTAATATTTTTCTAGGATATTACTTTAATATGTTTTACTATTATTACTTTATTTGATTATTTTGTATGATTTCTCATTTTGTGATATTTTGACAAATAAAACTTATACTTCGTGCAAAGAACAATGCTTTTCATTCGGCGGGTGATCGATTTGGCATGATACAAACATGAATATGTTTTTGTTTTAATTTGTTTTTTGCTTCGCATTTTTGTTGTCAAATGAATATGGTGGATGGATGGCAATTTGTATATTTTTGGATATTTATACAAGATCAGAATATATAGTTTCGAATTCGTTTATAATGACATTAAAAATTATAATTTCTTCGTGTGAACATTATGAAAAACATGAAAGAAGTCTTTATAGACGAATTCTAAATTATGTAAGGACTCATGTCATGGCGCATATTTGCATTCAAAAGCTGAACTTCCACAAAAGCAACTCATTCCTCAAAATAGTTTAGAACCCATTACAAAAAATGTCCAGCCGTTGTCTTATACAAATGGATGATTGCATGAAACATATTATATATTTCAGACAAATATTTCGATAAATAAAACTTATTTTTTTAGGTATTTGGTAGACATTTCAGATATGTTAATTTAAAATGGACTAAAATTGAATGTTATAAACTCCAGATCAATAAATTAGCTAGGAATCTGGAAACACATCTGAAATCTTTAGATGGACATTTCTGTATGGGTCTGTCGCGGAGACCAAACATTTAACTCTTTTCACTGGACATTTTTTAATACTTGATTTTAATTTTCATATTACAAAGAATATACATATATTTTCTGACATGCATTGAAATATTTGGAAAAAAATCTGTAATATTTTGTATGCGGTTGCAATTTTTTTCAAAACATGCTAATACGAAATGAAACATGTGAAATTATTGTTATAAATTATCGAATGTGGAAATGCAAATCAAATAATGAACAAAACAAAAAACATCATGCATATCTCAAAATTTTCGATCACCAAAATAAACTACAGCCAATATTTGTAAATAATAATAAAATCCTGTTTTTTTAATATTATATATTTTAATTCTTTTTATAATAAAACGGGTAATTACCTTAAACGACTACAAATGTTTTTTGGTAGTTTTCAGGATGTTTGTTTTTTTGAACAAGTAGGGAATTACAATAAAATCCAGGAGGCACGTGTATTTTTTTAGTTTAAGAAAATACATTTGGTAAAAAAAGAATGAAAAGTTTTACAAAGATAAAAGAACAAACATTAAAAATCACATCAAATATGAAAATAGAACTAAACTAAACCAAAAAAATATATCACAACATTTAAGAGAGTAATGAGGTTACCGAGCAGGCGGATATGTTCAACGTAGGATTTAATGATTGTGATTACAATGAACTGAAATTTGGGGGCGCTTTAGAAGTTATTACGTACGGTACTAGTTTACACTATGCAATGGATGGCAATTATCCAAATTATCGCCGTATCGAATTAATACATACATTGAATTAATACATACATACATACATACATACATACTATGTTTTTAATAACAATTTATAATATGTTTTCCATTGCATGGTGTAAACAGCATGTTTATGTTCAGTGAAATCTTTGAAATGTCAAGCAAAAAAGCTAAACACATGTTCAGTTAGAGAATGATTTCAAATGTCATAAGAAATTTTAGATTGTTGTAATTATTAATCTTCCAATTTGTTTGTAAATCATTCCCCACCATTTCGATTCAACATAAAAATATCTCCTTAAAGCCAATTGTTTAAAAAAAGTTAGAGAACCAAAATGAAAATGAAATAGATATGCCAATTTGTTGAAGAACTTAATTTCAACCCTGAACCAAATATACACATGTGTTTGTTTTTGGATTAGTAAAATTTTGGTAAAAAATTTTAAAGTGTAAGGGAAGTATATGCACAGAGTTTTTATGAACCAGATTCGATTGATTAGAATTTTAAACCTTTCATAGATAAGAAATTATAAAGAGCATTGCATTATGAAAATTTTGGAGTCCGGAGAAGCACCGTAGAAGAAATTTTGTATACATTTTTAGTTTATATGAATTCAATTGCACTCATAAAGTAAAATTATTTATGCTGAAATGAAATTGAAAGCATTTTATTTAACTTATTGTTGAAGTCTGCGAAGCAATAAAGATAAAACTAGGAAATAGATTATTGGTGATTGGAAATTAATAAAGAATTACTCCGTTCCAGAATCTGTTAGAATATTATACTTATTGAAATTTTGTTCGATCGTCCTTCTATAAATTTGAAAATTTTTTACTAGTTTTTAGAACAAACAAAATGTTTTAATTAAATATTAAAAAGAGGAGATTAGGCATAGTTATATTCCATATTGTTTCCAAAAAGTTCTGTACTTTTACTATCAAATCCCCAAATTAAACACAAAAACTTTGCCAATTGAAAATACTAAAAATAATATTTCTCTTCCGATCATTATTATATAACAAAAACGGAATATTTTGTAATTTCTCTTATATTTTCAACATTATCTTCTACGGTGCTCTGTAAAGCATTGTTGCGAAATACATATAAATGCTTTTTATGGCCAATTTATTTAGCGGATTAAAATTCTCTTTTGTTTGAAATGAACGCTAATAAAAATGTTTAAATATATAGTTTCGATTGTTTTCTTTAGAATTTTGTACACAAATTAAAAAAATCAAACACAAAAAGAAAATTGTCGATTCATTGATTAATTTGAAATTGTTTTCTTGGAATTTTTTGAATGAATTTATACAAACAAACAGTTTTACTTGTTGTTGTTGTTGTTGTTGTCGTTGGCATACTTACATCACACCCAAAATTTTTTTAAAATAAAATTTATATTTTAAAAATTATTTTAAAATAAAATTTCGCTTTGATTTTACTGAGAACCGAATCTTGTTATTGTGTTGTTTCTCTTCTTGACTTGTGTTTGTAATTTTTTCTCTCTCTCTTTCTCTCATTTTTGGGGAAAATGATAATTAAATTCAGTTCAAGGTAAAACCAGTCTTTGGGTATTTTTGGCAAAATGTTCGCAGTTAATTTGTTTTGATGTGTGTATGTGTGTGTGGGGGTGCAGTGTAAAGGATGTGTGTTTACATGTTTCCTTTGGGAATGTTTTTTTTTTTTTTGGAAATTCCATATAACTTTGTTCTTGTGAGAGCCATTGTTTTAAAATCATATAAATGTTGCTTATTCTTGGCGCACACACCCACAACATTTCCAACGACAGTCATGCCGTTCCTGGCCAACAACTCAAAACAAAATCAAAGCCTTTCTAAACACGTTTGCCTAATCCAAAAGTGTAACCTTAGCCTAAGTAATGATAATTGTTAGCTTAGCTCTTTAGAATGCCAAGTAATCAGCTTTTGGTTAGTTAAGCCTTTGCTTTAAAACCAAGAAATCCTGCAACAGGATCTCTGGCAATAAATACTATGCTAGAACATCTAATTTACATTCTGGCTTTGAGGGGGGTTCCATTTGTGTCTACTTTATTTTTACATTATTTTATTTTCTCTTCTTTTATCATTTAGTTTTCTCTAGTCATATGTTTATGTGTGGTAGTGGTGGTGGTGCGGTAGCATTTGGTTCTACTACGGCCTCTGTTTCTGTTGTTATTTGTTGTTGTATTTATTGCAAATGTTGTTACTGTAGTTGCATTGCATTTGGAATACATTTGGACTTACCTGCAAGAATTCCGTTACCGTTGTATCGACAATCATCAAAGGACGTTTTATTAAATGGACAACGCCATTACGTACAGGAATATTGGCGGCCACAATTTCCGACAATACCACACCGGTGGCGTGTTTGTTATCGCCCAGCAAAGTATTCGATTTCACATACACTACACGAAGACGGGAGAAATGAAGAGAAGTAGAAGAAGAAGAAGAACGAGGATTAGACTTATAGTTTTCATTTCATTCAACATAAAATCCGTCTTTATGACAGTCTTTATATTCACTATCTGTGTGTGTTGGAGTACTCAAACACGCACACATACACACACAGTCATACAAATAAATATCAATAGCATTATTTGAACATTCACTTGTACTTACTTATGCCATTCTTTTCTTTGAAGAAAGTCACTGTAACCTTTATATTATCCTCGAAAGCGGCAGTGGTTTGTGGCACTTCAATGGGTGCGGCCGCAGTAAATATCACATTGTTTAATAGGACATGTCCGTCGATAACTTTTTTATCCACTAAACTGCTGCGGGCAGTAGCCTATCATTCCAAATATGAAAGGAAATGAAATTATTTTTCTGCGAAAATAAACTGAAAGCCATGTGAATTGCTTACCTTGAAACCTTCATCAACTGGTATAAGGAATGTATGTCCACCAGGTGATTGGAATAAATTTTCCTTGCCTTTTAGAGTGACTTGAGAACGATAGACTCTGAAATAATATATGAAATGAAAAAATAATTATGATAAAGATTTTCAGAGGAAATTTCTAAAGACGTAGCTAACTGAAATATAATACTGACATATTGATTAACATGACTTGAACTAATGTTTACCAATCTATTTTTTCGGGATTTTTTTGTTTATCACACAATATTGAAATATTACGCAATATTGAAATATTCAACAATTTTGTGATTCGAAACATGTACTATGTTCAACTAAATAGTATTATTTTTCAATGACAAAATAAAATCATTTTTTACAATTGGTCATCAGGATAGCACAGTCATTATTGAAATTTTAAGAGAATATTTTGTGATTCGAAATATATAGTGGTCATCTAAATAGCATTATTTTTCCATTACGTAATAAAATCAATGTGTTCATAATTGGTCATCAGGATAGCACAGTCATAATTGATATGTTAAGGGAATATTGCTGTATGATTCTGATTATTATTTTCGGATATATATGATGATGCTTTCCCCTTTATTTACACCATTCAAATCGCAATGATGTATATTAATACAAAATTCAATTTCATTAAAGTTCAATTTGTTTTCATTATCCATATTTTTTGTGATGACATTTTAAATTTTATATTTTTCAATATCGATCATTCTTTTCTCTTATATGTATATTTTTCCCAGATTTCCTGACATCAGTCAGAAAATTCTCCTCGTATACACAAATTTGGTTGTTTTTTATAAAAACAACAATTTGGGATTCAGCCTGACTATTTTGCAAAAACAAAATACAAATGGCATCCCAAATAAACCGCCAACACTACTGAAGTTGAAGACGCAGGCACGGTTAAACTGTTTGGTTTGTTGCTAGCAACACCAACAAAATCGTTGTGTGCATTTGTCGCGATGTGACAACACACAACAGTGGTAAAGGTATGGTATTGTTTGTAAATGCCTTGTTAACCTCGAAGTGAGGCACCAGCGAAATTCTCATACAGTTTATGACGTTGGTCAGCTAAGTACTTCGCTTTGTTACAAGAGACATTTTGGGTATGAAAGGTTTTTTGTATGGAAGCAATAGCTTCTGGGGAGAATATCCCAACAAAAAACTAAGGGAACTGATGAGGATCAGTGGCGTGATCCGAAACTATAGTCTTCCCTGTCTTACCCCTCGGCAAACAATGTCATACATTCCCCACTAATAAATAGTTGTTTTTTATAAAAACAACAATCTGGGATTCAGCCTGACTATTTTGCAAAACCAAAATACAAATGGTATCCCAAATAAACCGCCAAAACTACGGAAATATAAACCATTACAATAACAACTTTGAACAGTTTGGCTTATGCTAACCTGATGACCATAGGCGATTTTCATTTTATTTTTGAAACACATGTTGATGCCTGTTTCGCCTGACTATGGAATACTGTTCATATTACCAAATGTAGTGTTTTATTATATGCTAAATGTATTTATTTAGAATTACCCACACTATTCTGTTGATTCGATACATATTGTCTAAAACTCGCACATACCTTAAACGATGATCTTCTCCAATGTCAAGTAAATCAGACTGCTGCAAGAATTGAAATGCATCTGGATTGGTGATTTCCGTTTTAGTATTAGGCAGCGGTGTAAGGGGTACTAAAACTTCGTCAATAATATGCATCACCTATAATAATTAAAAACATAAAGAATAATCAACATAACTTGAAGGAAACCCCATACGAGATCAACTTACCTGTCTTTTACCCTCGTTATTGGTCATTTCCACCGACAATGATGGTATAATGCGGGCATTGTTCACATAAATATCACCATTACGATTCTTCGTTATATACAATGGAGGATTACCATCCATATCGGATGGTATGGTCTTTGTTAATTGATCCTGAGTCATGGCAACGGTAGCTGGAAAACAAATTCAATTTCAATTAAGATTTCAATTTGTGAAGTAAAAAAAAAACAAAAACATATTTGTAATTAATTTAAAATCAACAACAACAACAATAAATGGAAACAATGTAATCAAGTGATAAATGCCAGACAGCAGCCATTCATTTAGTTGTTGCCCAGACAATTTATCTAGCCAGTTCGACGACGAGGACTTACCCATGTGATAAAGGACATACGTGGCCTTGTTCTTGTGACGCTGGAATGCCTCATTTGTAGGTACGAACAGTGTACAGGCTCTCAAGGATAATGTGGAATTGGCAATTTGATTCTGTTCCAATAGACTATAAAACTGCAAAGGAAAAAAATAAAGAGAAAAATAGAGACATAGAGAATTAAGCGATAAAGTTTTATTCGACAAAAGCTATTCATGTGTCATAAAAGAAAAGTTTTTTTCTTTTTTGGTTTTATTTTTCAATACCACCAAAATTAGCAGACTTAGCAAAGTTTATTACACTTTCAATGTAACGCTGTGGCTAAACAATGTTGTCAAATTCGAAAACAAAGAACGTTTCTGTCATTATTTACAATAGTTTGTTGCACTATTTACCATCAGATAGACGATGTTAGCAATTTTTTGTATTGACTATATAAAGGCGTGATATGTTAACGTTTAAATTATAGTTAAAAAAGGTTTGAGAATAGAAGTTATCTAGTGGGATATAACTAATAGCTAAGGGGAACAATACTATTAGGAAGAAATCGATCTATAAATGTAGTCAATTTGGAAAATATTGGTTATAAATATTATTAATTCGAAATTGACACGATGAATGCAATCATATGAATTGTATCCACTAAAGGTATTTTCATGTGAAAACAATCGACGAAAAATCATCTATTCTGAGAATGAAAGACCCCAATGTTAGTCCCCCAACTTACTTTTTGTACTTACTTTTGTACTACACCCAAAATACTGTAAGCCCCATGTATATTTCCTAATAAAATTGTTTTTTAACAACATTGCTTGCTAGTTTCTTTTTGTGTCCTCGTGTACATTGTTTAGTTTCTCCTTCTGCCAAATAAGTTATAAAGGTCATTCCACTTTTAGTACATGAGTACTTCATATCATCCAGACAAGATTTTGGCATTCACATCTACATCTCATTATGCATGGAATTATTTTAAAACAAGCCAAATTTTTCGTCGGGGAGCATTCATACCCAGTACTACAGACAAGAGACAGACATGTCAATGTCTAATTGAATTACAAATTTAACTGAAGACTAAAACAGTTGAGGAAAAAAGTCATAACAAAAATTTCTTGATGGCATATTTTCGGTAGATGAATGAAAACTATTTTATAATAGATTTCTAATTCTTACCCAGTATTGAATCTAATGCCATATTTCTAACATTATTTAGAGCCATTTCAATGGAAAATGGGGATGAAATATTATTATTTTCCAAATGTATTTCAGTTGAAAAATGGTAAACTACATTTTTATTTCTCAAAGATGTGATTATATTCTTATTTATCACTTCAAAACAATTTTCCAAAATTGCAAATACATATATTTGCAAATAGCAATGTAGAATTTGTGTGGGTGAGGCCCAACTACGTGATTTCAATTTTGTAAAATCATTGACAAAAACTCTATTAATCCTAACATGTAATGTAAAAATGTGTGAATATTTTTTATGGTATATTTTAGGGAGGATTGTAAACGATTCTAAAAACTTTTGAAAGAAATACAATAAACTTGAATTTATTTCATATACTCGTATTTGGTATTTAATAGCAGTCCATTTTCCTTATTTATGGCATTGCAAAAATATTCATTGCTCAATTAGTTGACAAAGTATTCTTTTTCCAACATATCGCCGAAATTTTTACAACATATGTTCACATTTTTTTTGCAGATTGGATTAAAGACTCGCACCCTCTAAATGGTCCTAAATGGTAAGTGCTAAATGTTTTTAACCAACTTCATTAGATCGATTTGCCATTGTTTATTGTTTTATCGATTTTGATAAAATCGATGTCATTATCCCATAAACATGTCAATTTAACTAACAATCAGCTTGGGCGCTTGAAAAAAAATCAGCAGATTGTCTTAATTAGTTTGCATTGCCAAAAAATTACCCCTATTGAAAAATCTTCATTTTTTCCAATTCCAAAATTTGAGTTATCAGAAAGACCATTAATTTGATTGAAGTGGTTGATTTTTACATCGAAATTAGTATTTAGAAAATCCGTAAAAAAATATCAACATGTTACTAAAAATAATGGTGTACTTTTAGCCAAGATAAAACATTGTAATTTATATATACCTGCATTTTTCAAAATATACATGTATTTTTTGCATATACCTAGGTAAAAAATATGATATACCCACATAAAAAAATATTCGGCATAAATCACGTTACAATCGGTGTTGCTGGTGTGCCATGTGTGAATCATAAGGAAAAGATAACCACATTTTCGCATACAAAATAAAGACCATTCGATCCGAGATTTGATATTTGCATTTGTTTAAAATATGCAGGAATAAAAAATGATATAACCCTAGCTACGTCAGACTGCCTATGTAAAAAAAAACATATATCGTCCCTCATGTTAAGTTATGAGTCGTTTATTTTTAAAGTGGTTTAAGTTCATTTTAGGTTTTGATAGAAATCTTGGTTTTTTACAAAAGTTTACAAAACATATTACGTTATAAAGTCTATCATGTTAAAGGGCAGAAAACCACAAACATAAGTAATACCACTTAAAAATATTTTTGAACAAATCAAACCCAAACCTTTAAATATATATTAATATAAGAAAGCATGGACTTAAACCACATTCAAAATAAACGACTTATATGGTTACAATCAGATTATACACCCACCCCGTTGACATTTAAACAATTTAAAGAGAAGTGTTTGGATATTCGTCATTCGAATTTAGTTGAAATCGGTTCATACATATATTTTTCATCTGTGGTATAATTTATGCTTCAAAACAAAGGGATAAAGTTAAAGTCGGTTTCGGTTTAAATCCTTACAACTTTATTTTATATTATTGCAAATTCTTGTCAATATATTTTTTAAATTTCTATGTTTCAAATAATTTTGTTAACATTTTGTTCATTTACCAAAACCATTTACAAGTGTCTACGCATTTTTTCCCTTTCAAAAATCAACCATTACCTATTAGATAACATTGATTTATGGGCCAAAACAATCGCTAACTGTCTTAACTATAGAAAATTAGTGTCCAAATTATGTCCATTGCAAATGTGTTAACTGCATTTCCCAATGGGACATGGTCCGTTTTGTTATAGTTAATAGCTTGATTTATGTAACAAGAGCCAGAGATTTGGCAAAACCTCAAACCCCTCTTAACGGGGACAATGCGACAATGTAACACAACGAACGCTGCGTCATGCAATGAATACAAAATTCGCACATGTTGTGTTAATAGTTTCCGGCAAACGGGAAGCATCCCTTTGTCCAAACAAAAACAACCACCCCACACAACAAAACAATGGCCAATAGACGACTGCGTCAGCTACATTCGGTGACATTGAATTCGGTTGTGCCTTCTAATTAAACATTTGTAAGTCAATTTAATTTTATCAAATCCGATTATCTACGATCCAGCTATTGATTTGTGCTTCCTTTCAGAATCAGTCAAGCGATTAGGATTTTTTGGTTTCCCTTTATCGCTGGCAAACAGATGCAGCAATAAGAAAGATAAAGAAATGGGCCGGCCTTACAATCACTTTCCGAATTTCCATATATTTTGTGGTATTCATTGATTTTTCCTTTTCGCCACATGTATGTGTGTGAGTGAGTGTGTATGTGGTTGTGATATAAGGAAATAAATACGAATTTTGCAAAATACCCCATTTGTGTATTTGAAATAAATGGTTTGGCGATCAAAACATAGTGACAACAGCGTAACATATATTGTAACGTCATTGTTAGTGACGACATTAAAGACATGTCCGTCTGTACACATGTCTTGTCAATGACACAACCAGAACCCATTTCTAATCACATTTCACATTTTTTTCCGTACAATGTCCCCTTTCGTGGTATGAATTGGGTGTAGGCTGACTGACTGCCACAAGCACAGCAAATGTAATTTCCATGGTAATCGAATCGAACACCAATACAGCAAAGTAAGAAAACCGCCCTTAACTAAAGAGAAGAATTATGAGCTGTAATATCGACATGAATAACTTTCACATCTTGTGTCATTCCTATCAATGCCTCTGCATCGATGTGTGTGTCCTCTCAAGTTTATTGAACTAAATATTATTTTAATTCGTCATACATGTTTGGTCGGGTCCTCTGTACGGCACTTGTTAGCAGTTGGGAAACATACAACAAAGGGGGAGAAAATCACACTTTTGAGGTGTTTGTTACAACAAACATCCGCAGAGAGGGAGAGATAGAGAAAGCTTCCTTTCCGGAAGACATGTGCAATTGTCGCTTGTTATCACCATCGATGGACCATGCAAATCAATCAAACATGGTTATATGTTGTTCCAGTTAAAATGACAAGGGAAAATGGGAAAACACAATTTGTTGTGGGAAACTTTCGAAAACAAATCTTTACAACTATTGTTGAGAATAAAATCAAAACTGGAACAAAGTTCATTTAAGCAAAATCTAATAGAAACTATGTACATGTATGTATACGAGAACATAAAGAATTAGGGAAAATATATAACATATCCTTTTCTCTCGCACAATTGCTTAATATCATGATTTAGAAAAAAATTGTTCAGCTAATATTTTCTATTCAATAATAATAATAACAGCAAGTACAATATGTTTTTGTAAAATAAACGAATAGATCTATAGTTTCGAATGGTGTCGTTAAAGTTAACATTTTCGGGTATATTAATCACAGGATCATTTGTGACATCACAAGAAATGACAGTATTGATTTTAAATAATATTGTTTTTTATATAATAATATTTTTAAATATTTTTTTAAAATTCTATTTTGCATATAATGTTTGTCAAATAATATTTTGAAATATTTTTAAATTTTTTGAAATAATCTTTTTTAATTTTTTTTTAATAATATTTCATCTACATAGCATTTGTAATATTTATTGGAACCCTCCTAAAATTTTACAGCTGTCTATTATCATTTGATATATGAATTATTTATCTGCCCTAATATTTATATAAGTTAATTGTTTCTTGTCCCAAAAAATCATTTCTCATTTCGAGTATGCCTGTAGAACCCCCATTTTACATATTTTTATTCGAATTACACACATAACATTTACTGCACCAAGAAGTGCTATTGATTTTATTTGTTTGGATATTGAATATCACCATCAAAACTCCCTTCAAACACCACGTACGAACTTTAAAATGTCAAACATACGTATGTATGTACATACTTTATTGTGACATAAAACACGAAGAAATGGAAACCTCTCCTCCAAAATTCTCAATTGCCTCAATTGATTTGAAAACATTCATACAAATTTGAAACATACAAAATTCATGCACAAAGCTTTTAAAAATGAAAACCTTAAATTTTTTATGATTGTTAGTTCGAGTGTCGTGTTTGACCATAATTGAATCAAATAAAGTAATTAAATTTGTTGTTGTCTTCCATTAATTTTTTAATGAGAAAAAGTGAAGAAAACGTCATTACAATTTATGACTTTGTAATGTCGGCTGAAGCTGTCAATGATACATCACATCATTGTTGTCAGCGCCTCATCAACGCTGGTCAGAGGTCGTCAATTTCAAATGTATTTTAATAAAAATTAATTACAACAAAAAGAAGTAGAAAAAAAAATACATCCAACATCCAGAATAATTATGAGGGATGATGAACTGAAATTGAAATAAGAACAACAAGAACATTTCCAAAGAAATTATAACGCGAGACATTTAATTAACTTATTAGTGATAAAACCATGCCAACGTCTAGGATCTTTATTTCAATTCTTTATAGCCTTCTTAGTTTAGTTTTCAGATTAATTTGTTAATTTCATGGGATTATTGATATCCTGGCAACAATTATCCCATTTATATATTTCGTCTAATAATATCAGTGTAAATATTGCCTGCGGTAACTGTACATTGGCCAACACCGACTGCTGTCCCGGCAACCAGAATATGGTGTCATATGTAATCACTAAATTGAATTATAAACAAAAACAAACCCCAACTAATGTCATATAAAAATGCATTCCCTGTTCTACAAAAGAAAAGCCATGACGCTGGTTGTTTGCCTCGTCATCAAAGTCTGTTGGCCAGTCTGATTTGGTCATTAAACTGATAGGAAACACCATCAAACGTTACCGTTTGGTTTTAACTAATTTTCAACCCTTATTCGTACGCACGAATACACATCCTTTTTTGGGTGAATGTGTGTCCTGCCATCACGTCGCATGGTCGACGTGTTGTCGATCAATCTTTCACCTGGTCGGTCGCTTTTCATTCATATGTGACCAAATGCACAAATGTTTGTCTGATTGTTTTATTTCGGCCCTACGCCTCCCTCTCCGCCCAGCTCGGTTTAGTATTGTGTCCTGTCATGCCACCTTGCCATATGTTGTTGTTACCACCTTTACGCTTGTTTCGTGTTATTTTTTAAAGACTGTCTAAGCGGACAACATAGGGCATAATGTGTTTGAATGTGTGTACGTTCGTCAGTTGGTCGGTCCGTGAGCAGGAAATAGTGTCATGACTTACGACAATGCCATTTTCTATATCATGTGTGAGTGAGTGCATGCCAGTAAAATGCACATGTGTGTGGGTGGGTGGTTGTCTTTTTGCTCCTGCATTCATATTGTCTATGTTTTGCCATAGAACACGTCCGTCCTCAATAATTAAGTGAGGGCAATGTGCTTTCTAAAAAACGGTTCCTGCCCACATTTACACAACCCCCCCACACACTGTGATTTTTCACTTTTTTCCTGTTTTACCTTTTACTTTTAGTCGTTGTTCATGTGGGTCTGTGTGAGTGAGTGTGTCTCGAGATCGTTAAGAGCGAAAAAAGTTTTAAGCGAGTGCATTAAATGCCTTTTTATGACTCATTAGACTTTGCACTTTTTTCTTTCTTTAGTTGGACTTCGTTAAGCGAACAAAACTTCTTTTTCGAGGCAATTTTATGAAAGTTGTTAAACGCAGTAATAAATACGTTAACGTTAAGTTAAGGGATGTGGTTAAGTGATGGTGCATAGCTGACATCATCGGGGGTAGAAAAAAAACAGAGAATTAATAATAATTCAAGACTTTGCAATTATAAAGTTATAGCGACTATATATATATATTATATATATTCTACAGACTCATTCTCTAAAGTTACAAATAAAATAATTGTAATGTTGATTTTGTTTTTAAAGTTCTTGTTCCAGTAGTTATTCTTTTTTAAGATGGGAAACTTTAAACCCTTAGTTATTTTTATTTAATATTGACATTTTAAATTTAAAATTCCCCCTATTTTCAAGTCCTCTACCCCAAAAACACAAAATGTTGCACCTGTATCATGTGTGTTGTCTGGCAACAGGATTATGAAAATATTTATTACCCAAAATATTCCTACAACATGAGGCCGGAAAAGTACTTAGTAATAATACTATGTAGTAGCAGTGCAATTTGAAAGGACACTTGAAAATGTCTAAAGCCGAAAGGTTGTTGGCCAATGTGTTTGAGGTAAATAATTATGTGTTTTTAATTGCCCTCAATGGGGAGACACATGCACGCACACACACCCCAACAGTAAATAGAAATTTATAGACGGAGGCAGAGTTTGCTGTCAATGTTTGACATGTGTGTGTCGTTACATGCCTCGTGCCATTTTTCTGTGTCTATTGTGTGCGGTCTTATTCTAGAAAAAAAGGGATACTTGAAAATTACAAACATACACACAAATATGTCAAAATCAGCTATTAACTCTCAAAATCGAATTAAAAATGAAAAATTGTGGTGGTAAAATATTTTGTTAATATTTTTATCACGGGGAGGGTGGGTCCATGTCTGTCCAGGACATTTGTGTTTAGTATAATAAGTGTATGCATATACATATGTATGTATGCATTGTAACAGTAAATTATTTATATTATTTTTGTGTTCATAAAAATGTTAAAAAATCGTTTAAAATATTAACCACAAACTCTGTATACTAGCAACAGCAATAACAACAATATCTATAACTAGAACAATAACAAGAACGTCAACAACAACAGCAACACTATGTATATATTTTGTAGTATTTATATGCAAACAACCCTTGCTCTAAGGTCTCTAAGATACAACACAACAAAACAAAACAACGTAATGGAAACGAATTCGTTGATAACACAAGCCAAACCTTTAAAACAAAAGTATAAACAAAACAAAAAAGTATAAAGTTAACTAAAACTATAAAACAACAACGAATATTTACTTTGAAAAGGATATATGGAGTAGTTTTTTATATTTACACACACGCACGCACATACTCAACATATTTTGATAATGCACACTAATGCATTTCAAATTGTTGACATGTCCGTCGCCAAGGGCTGGATAAAAAAATGAAAATGCATTTATTTGGTTATCAGATAAATTTCCCTAGGAAAATTAGGAGCAAAGCAACACAAAAATGAACGAAAAAACAAACGCAAAAAAGGAAACAAAATCATAGGACAGAACATAAACTAAGGCAACTTGCCGCATTATTTACATAGCGAGCACTCGCGCTGAATAGATGGTTGGTTGGATGGTTGGCTGTAGGTACTAGGATTGGGTTGTAGGAACATTAACTAGGCTTTTAGGTTGGTTGGTTATTGGTTTAATAGATAATTTTGTTGGTTTTTTGTTTTGTTGTTGAGGATATCTTACCCTAACAGGCATTAGTTTCCTTAGTGATGCAGTCTGTAAGTAGAAAAGGCCATAAAACACGATTTTTAAACAGCCAAAAAATCTTGATTTTGTTGTTGTTTTTTGTTATCATATCAAGGCCAAAACATAAAAACCATTTTTTCCTTTTTTGTTTCTTAATGGAAGAAACGAAACAAACAAGACGTAACTGAAGAAGAAGAACAAATGGTTTGGGTGTGTTGTTGAACTTTTTGGGTTTGTAATGTACTGTTGTTGGTGTTGTTGTTGTTTGGTTTGAGAGATTGTTGACTTGGTTGAATGTTGAATTGATTGACTGTTGGTGAGTGGTATTGTTTGCTTTGGTCCCCAACCAGGAATATGTGGAGCGTGGAAAATGTACCATAATTTAAATGATAACAAAGTTTTAGAGGAGTTTCATTTAAGTGTGTGTGTATGAGTAAGAGCCAAACAAAAAACAACAAAACTCGTCCGTGCCAATGAATACTTGCCAAGGATAATGCATAGAATGAAAAACACAAAACGAAAATTAAAAAATAAAAAAAAATTCAAAACTTTAAACATTGAACTAAACACAGACATTTGGCTAGACTACTAAAAAACAATAACTAAATAAAAATAAATATATTTACTTATTATATTAGAAATAAAGTTTTTGTTGTATTACACACAGGAAGAAATTTTCTTTTGAAATCACATTTTGTTTTAATATTTTCTTATTTTTAATATAATATTAAATCTGTTGTTAGTAATAGTGCTAATGTTTATTTGTTATATCATATTTTATTTATATGTTCCTATAAAACACTCCCCTGACTGATTGCAAGGTTGTCGAAGGCGAACATATGACGTTTTCCTCTTTGTGTACATATATAAATGTTTTTGATTTACCTAATTATATTTTTAAATTAAGTTTATAAAAATAATGTTTTACATTTTTGGTTCAAAGGATATATGAATTTGTCAAATTACTGTCTAGAAATGTTTTAATCTCCACTCGGCCTGGCATTCCTTTTTATTGTCAAGCGGCAATGAAACGTTTTCTTCTGCATTGCATAAAGGTCACATTACTACGACATTGAATGAACCTCTTAGACATTTTACAAGGCAACAATTGTCGCAGCTTCATTTGGCCAACCCTGGAAGTTATTTTTAACTCTGAAGGAATTCTGCTCTAGTTTTACAAAATGTTTTTTTTTTTTTGTATTCTACTAGAGGTCATATTATGTGTATGACGCCTGTGTCCTTGTAGGTTTTATATACATATTTGTATGTACATGTGGCCTTGTGCATAATAGTAATTCATGATGCAAAATTAAATGGAAGGACGTGTAATAAATTGTCTTTAATATGAATATTACTCGGTTGTTTGAATGACTTCAAAATTGTGACTCACAATAAAATCCAATAAATGTTCAGTTATACGAAAAAAAACCCAAAAAAATAGTTTTAATTAAAAATAAACCATATAATTAAACTTGGATTAGTTCGGATGTTATGGCACCCTTGAGTATTGCAATTTAAAAATATATTATATTATGATGAAATTTAATATCCCACATATTATCGAGTCATCCGTTTATTTTGGGCCTTTTCCCCTAATTCCGGTCTTCATAATACAAATGGTGTAATTAAATGCAATTAAGAAAGTCGTATGCAAACTTGAATTTACATTAAACACACATCAATCTTTTAAAAGGTCCCTGTGGGATCAGAAGCCCATGCAATCACATTGTGTATGTAAGTGTACGTGCGTGTGTGTGTGTGTGTGTGGTCTGTCCCAAAGGAAGTTATAATTGGAAACTATAAAAACCTCAACTATAACTTCCATCTTTAGAAATGAAAAGAAATTATCTTTAACTTAATTTTAATTGTGAGGAGGTTGAGCAAAAATACGAGAGACTAGCCCGGGAAGGGCGAATACCGCATCATATGAGAGAATTAATGAAATTTAACATCTAATTAGTAATTTAAATACAAATCATAATTGCTTTAGCGGCACTACTTTCCAATGTGTAGTCTTGTATCATAAACTGGCAATTAATACAAAAGGAAAAAAGAAAAACATTTGGAATTTGAAATAGATTACATATTCGAACTAAATGTGTGCGTGTCTAATTGGAAGAGTTGTAATAAAAATATGCCATCGTTTAGGAACGCATACATTAATTGGGAACATTTCCAGCTTGCATCTATCGCATCGAAAGCATAATTTTATTAGAATTAAATTGAAGATAATTAATGTCTTGAAACTGTGTCGACATTTCATGGCACTTCAGCAGCTTGAATTCGAATCAAACTCCCCCTCTCATGTGATCCACCAACGCAGTAAATGGTTTCTTCTTATGTGTGTGTGTGTGTGTGTGCGTGAAGAAGTGTTAGATCTTGCACATAACAACAAACTAAAATGAAAAAATGATTGTGGCTAATGCAAGCGATCCATAAACAAACAAAATGTTTTATCTGATGGGGACATTGCATTTAAAAATGGTCCACTCTTGTAGCAGTCCCCCAATACACCCGCCTATCTATCGCCACATAGAAGACAACATCATCGTTCGCTGGTCATAAAGGTCGCCGCTTAATGCCGCTAAAGAGACACACAAGAGATACTGACAAAAACAGGCATACGCTTTAATCTTAATTAAATTTAATTGAACAAACGAGTGCATCAACAGCTTCAGCAGCAGTGGCGGCAGCACATCATCATCATCGTCGCCGTCTTTTCACCATCATTTTCATGATCGTAGTCTACTGTGCCCGGGTACACACAAGATATTAACTCAACCCACTACTACTTGATGGTGGCGATCAGCAGCTACTGTCGCTGCTGCACGTTTAGATAGTTTTTTTTATTATTATTGTCGCTTGCCGTTGCTGTTAATGTTGAGCGGGTGGAAAAGGAAGGGCGGGACATGAGAACGGTCTCTTGTTATGTTGCACATGAATAAATTGATGACGTTTTCCTAGATCATTGTCATCGTCTTTTATGAAAAAATCATAATTATTATGTCACATTGTACAAACATATATAGCTGCTGGTCGAAAAAGCTCCCTTCCCTCCCTTCTTTAAAATTGTCAGAGAAAAAATTGTAAAACTTAAAAAACCTCATACAGTAGTGTACTGCAAATTTAGTATTGTAGTGAGATCACATACTCAACTCCTAGCTAAGCAACACAGTGATAATTTTCTAGAATTTCAAAAAAAAAAAAAAAACAAAAACAAAACAAAAAAAACTTCAAAACTATATAATCGGACTGGAGCAGAGCCGATCCTCATTTAAAAAGGTGTAGTCATTGGCTGGCCAAATCTCCTCACCATTTAAGATTTCATAATGTTCGGTCTCTGAAGCCAATAGACTTTACTTACTTAGCTTGCTTGTGACAGAACTTTCGTTCCATAAGCCGAGCTTAAAAAAGATTTCCAGTCGCAAGCCAATAGACAAAAAATTCAGTCGGCTATGTACGCAAAATTTTGAGACGATTGGTATATTATTCTGATTACTCTGATTTTTTTATATACACACGAATATTTATCTCAACACATTTTCAAGCATAATGTGATAGAGTAGACTATTGCCTTGAGACATTGCGCTCATTTGTTTCAAAACTACATGTTTATAGAACCTAAATACGGAGCAAATTGTTGTTATCGAGGAAAAGTAATCTCTTCGAATAAGGCAACACTTAAACGGAAAGCTAAATGTCAATACCTTACATTTTTAGGTCATTGTGCGATGCATCTTTAATCAGAATTAATTTGAATTCTCTTATCAAATCGGTGTAAATGACATTCCATTTATACTATGTTTAAGAAATGATCTCAAAATATTCCTTTAGCGATTATACATCAACAAAATTAATTTCAATAATTAAATATGATACCTTTTCTAGGCAGAACTAATTTAAAATACTTTTTTTTTTGGAAAATGTGTTCATAAACTACTTTGAACACACATTCTTATCTGATTCTATTTAAGAGAATTATTTTTCAAAAGGTGTAACAAAAATTGATTTAATCCCCATTCCAGCCGCTATTTGTATTCATGAGATTAATTTAATAGGCACTCGTACGGCTGAGGGTTTGTTGTTTATGCAAGGCGTTCGTTCTAATGTTGTCACCACCCAGAGAGTTAGAGAGCTCAGATTAGACTTAGATGATGGTGCTGATGCTGCTGCTGCGGTTGTTGTTGACAATGATGCAGCCAGCCAGCCTAACCTCCCGTTGAGTGGCTAAATGCGCTCGAATCCAGCCATTTGAATGTTGATAATGGCTTAGGAATATTCAAACACAGTTTGACCAATAAAAACGTTAAATTTATGAGCAGCTTTGGTTTGAAATGTAACTAATACTCGTACATTCCCTCAACAAATGCGTATTTATGTTTGTTGTGTGTTTGTGTAACGTCATTGTATTCTATTTTTTGGTATTATTTCTAATATGTAGGAAGAGTGGTTGGGAGGGAGCGAAATCCCAATAAAATATCTAAACCGTTAAAGCTATTCGATTGTAAACAATGATAAAGGTGGAGACAGACAATTGCGACCAAGAATCTGTTATGGAGAAGCACAAACCAGTGTGCCTCAGCTATTCGTAATGATAATGCTGTTGATCATGACAATCATCATTACGCTGGCTGATCGTCTGTGAAAATTTGCTCAGCGATCATAATTTGTAATGTCAACTACACAGGAAGTTAGGTCATAGTAAGTAGAAAAATAAAACGTTACTACTGCGCCGCTTGTGTTGCCGCTGACAATGAACGCTGAATGATGAACAAATTCGAAAAGGTCAATTATGACGACGAATGTGAGTGACAACAACAATAACTGTAACAAAAACAACAACCCATAACTGCAACTGTTCTTTACGAAGATTCTGGTTATGATGGTGATGATGATTGTTTGTGGTTTTGTCTTCTTCTTTTTCTCTATCACTGACAATTGAAATTGTGTAAACACCAAATAGAATAATATTTCAGAATAAAGCAAAATCAGTGTCATACTTTTATTCGTTGCAGTATTGGTGTTGAATG